TTCTCCAGAACAAACTGGACCAAAGAACGTGAAAAAAACTCCAAACTTTTGAGAAGATCCAATCAATGTCTCTCAGGACTCACCGCACCAGCTCTGAGACCGTCCGAGCGACCAGAACCTTCTACGTTCTGTTTGACTCCTGAAGAAACTGGAACTAGACCAAAGAACTTGAAAAACCTCTGTCCAAACTTTTGAGAAGATCCGTTTGTCCCACATGATTCTACATGTTATTAGGTTCTTTTCTCAGAAGTCCGAAAACAAACTCTTGGTCTGAAAGAAGAACTTAACAAAGAACATAAACTCTCAGAAGACCAGATGAACCTCGTTGGACTGCTCTGAGTCTGTTTGAATCCAGAAGAGTCTGGAACTGGACCACAGAGCAAGAAAAACCTCTGTCCAAACTTTTGAGAAGATCCAACCACAGACGCTCACACTCAGAAGACAGCTTTTATTGTGTGTGTGTGTGTGTTTTTTTAGTTTTTGGTTTGTGTTTTTATTTTATTTTATTTTATTTATTTATTTTCATTTTATTTTTATTTTATTTAATTTTCATTGTATTTATTTTATTTATTTTCATTTCATTTTATTTTATTTTCATTCTTTTTACTTTATTTTCATTTCATTTTATTTTATTTTCTGTTATTTTTCTGTTATTATCATTATTTCAAATTCTTTCCTTGTGGATCTTTATTAAATATAAGTGTGTATTTATTTTAATTGTATTTATTTTAATTTTATTTTCATTTTATTTTATTTTATTTTTCATTCTTTTTACTTTATTTTCATTTTATTTTATTTCTTTATTTTATGTTATTTTATTTATTTTATTTATTATCATTATTTCAAATTCTTTCCTTGTGGATCTTTATTAAATATAAGTGTGTATTTATTTTAATTGTATTTATTTTATTTATTTTCATTTCATTTTATTTTATTTTAATTTTCATTCTTTTTTACTTTATTTTCATTTCATTTTATTTTATTTTCTGTTATTTTATTTATTTTTCTGTTATTATCATTATTATTTCAAATTCTTTCCTTGTGGATCTTTATTAAATATAAGTGTGTATTAGTCTGGTCCATCAAATCATGGTTAAAAAAAAAAAAAAAAAAAAAGTTCCAGATCATCTCGATTAGAACCTGCTTTAGGTTTTCGCTCCAAAAAATGATTTAAGAAGAAATGTGGAAGAAAAAGAAGATGTTTTAGAGGAGCTCAAGCTGCATGAATTTTCCTGGAAATTGACTCATTCTGTGTTTCCAAATCACTTTTTATGGACTTTATAATTTCACTCAAATTTGATTGATTAAATGTTTATTTTGTTTAATTTTTGACCCAAATATTATGGCCAGAAATGGAACTAAATGCAGGATTCTGTTCTAATTTAGTGAATCTAAAAAAATATATAAATAAATGTTTTGGAGCATCTGTGGGTGGTGTTTGTTTGAGTGTCCAACCTGACCTCGTTAGGTGTTGGGAAGTTTACTTTTAAAATGTAATCCCCTACAGATTACAGATTACTTACACGAAAATGTAGTTTGTAACAGAATCCATTAAATTACTTAAAGTGAGTAATGTAATCGGATTACTTTGGATTACTTGATTTGCTGTAAAGATGAGGATATTTTTGCATAAGAAGTTTTGTCTTGGTTCAGTTCTGGTTTAGTCCTGGTTTAGACCTGATTTTAGTCCTGGTTTAGACCTGGTTTGAGACCTGGTTTAGACCTGGTTTTAGACCTGGTTTAGACCTGGTTTTAGACCTGGTTTAGACCTGGTTTTAGTCCTGTTAAATCCTGTTTTAGACCTAGTTTAGACCTGGTTTTAGATCCTGGTTTAGACCTGGTTTTAGACCTGGTTTAGACCTGGTTTTAGACCTGGTTTAGACCTGGTTTTAGACCTGGTTTAGACCTGGTTTTAGACCTGGTTTTAGACCTGGTTTTAGACCTGGTTTTAGACCTGTTTAGACCTGGTTTAGACCTGTTTAGACCTGGTTTTAGACCTGGTTTAGACCTGGTTTTAGTCCTGTTTTAGTCCTGGTTTAGACCTAGTTTAGACCTGGTTTAGACCTGGTTTTAGTCCTGTTAAATCCTGTTTTAAACCTAGTTTAGACCTGGTTTTAGTCCTGGTTTACCTGGTTTAGACCTGGTTTAGTCCTGGTTTAGACCTGGTTTAGACCTGGTTTAGACCTGGTTTAGACCTGGTTTAGTCCTGGTTTAGACCTGGTTTTGTGTCCGGCAATGAGTGGAATTACAGGGAAAAAAAGGGAGGGGAAACACTGAAACAGTAACTGTAACTGAATACAGTTACTCATCATTTGTACTCTGATTACATTACTCTGGTATATGTAATCTGTTACTCCACAACACTGATAATAAATAAAGAAAAAAAAAAAAAAAGAAACAGACATAAAACTTGTTTCACCTGAGAAAAGTCACAGTTTGGTGTTTGTTCTGTGTTTGGTCTGAGGTTCTGGAAAAGTCTCTGAAATCATTTCCTCTGTTCTGTGTTCGGTTCCATCTGCAGCGTCTGTTTTTCTACGACTGCGAAACACCGTCAGAATATTTTGTGTTTTGGATTTTTCGTTGCGGAGACGAAGGTTTGGAGCTCGACTTTTGGAGCAGAAACAGATTTCAGAGTTTCTCAGAGTTTCTCAGAGTTTCTCAGAGTTTCAGTGTTTCTTTTTGAGCTGCTTAAATTCCTTCGTTTGAAACAGAAGAACAAGAAAACAGGTCCAGATCCTGTCTGAACTCGCCTCAGGTACCACAGACCCACCTCCACCCTGCACCACCTACACTACACCACCCACACTACAACCTCCACCCACACTACACCTCCACCCACTCTACACCACCCACACTACACCACCCACACTACACCACCCACACTACACCACCCACTCTACAACCTCCACCACCTACACACCCCACACTACACCACCACTCTACACACCACACACACACCACACACCTCCACCCACACTACACCACCCACTCACACCACCACCTACACCACCCACTCTACACCACACTCACCTCACCACCTACACCACCTACACACACCACACACACACCACCCACTCTACAACCTCCACCCACACTACACCACCCACACTACAACCTCCACCCACTCTACACACACCACACCCACCCACTACACCACCTCACACCACCACTACACACTCCACCCACACTACACCACCCACTCTCACCACACCACTCTACACCACCCACACCCACACACTACACCACCCACACTACACCACCTACACCACCCACACTACAACCTCCACCACACACTACACACCACACTACACCCACACTACACCACCCACTCTACAACCACCCACACTACCACACTCACTCACCACCCACACTACACACCCACTACACCCCCACACTACCACACACCACCCACACTACACCACCCACTCTACACCACCCACTCCACCACCACAACCACCACCCACTCTACACCACCCACTCTACACCACCCACTATACACCACCAACACTACAACCTCCACCCACCCTGAACACGCTCCAGGAACCAGGTCAGAACACAGCCTCCACCCTCTAACCTCCACCCACAACCACACACCAGGGAACAGCCAGACAGACCCACAGCGATCTACCTGCAACCTCCACCCTCACTGTCCTCCCTACGACCACCCACCCACTGCCTCCACCCGCAAACCCCACCCTCTAACCTTCACCCGCACCATCGTACCTGCAAACTCCACCCACCACCACAACCTCCACCCACAAGTTCTACTGATAACCGAGACCCACACCGTTCTAACTGCAAACCCCACCCAACGCAACCTCAGTCCACAACCTCCACCCACACTGTCCTATCTCCAACCTCCACCCACACCCAACCATAAATGAACAAAAGTGCTTTTTTTTTTTTTTTTTTTTTTCACGATCTCTTCAGAAAGTGAAGCCCCGACCCCCAAAGATGAGAGAGTTTCAGGTTTCAGGACTTTGAACCATTAATTAACCAGATTAATCTGACGAGTTTGTGAAGGCGATTCCAATAAAAAAAAATATAAGAAGAAGCAAGATCTTTGTCTCTCGTGCTAAAAACTGAAAAACACCAGAGCAGCTGAAGTTTTATTTTCACACAATAAACAGGTGAAATATAAGAGTTCAGGAGGAAACTGGATCTGTGTGGCCCTGGTCTGAGTCTCAAAGGAGGATTCTCTTTCCCACTGACACACTTTAACACAACAACAACACAACAACACAACAACACAACAACACAACAACACAACAGGAGTGGAGCAGCTGATGGGAACGAGGGCAGGAGCTTCTGTCTTCAATATCTTTTCACATCTTTGTTCCAGGGTTTAATCCCAGAGAGTTTGTTCAACAGAAATGTCTCCAAGACTCTGAACCTGATTTTTCTCACGTGTTTCAGTAAAATGTGTCTTGTCAAAAGACGGTGTAGTGTCCAGACGTCCCAGTTTACCCAGGACAGTCCCAGTTTTGAGCCTGCAGATTTATATAAAACCACTGATTTGAAATGTCCCAGGTGTCTCTATTTTTGACCAATCTGATCCTGACAACAGTAACAGAGACATAAACTGTCATTTGTTTGGGTAAAATACAGAAAAGCTGCTTAAAAATGACCAAAACACAAAGAAAATGTGATGACGTGTGGACACCTCACCTCCTCTGCTGCTGTGAGTCTCGTCATTTTGGTCTTAAAATGTTTGTATTAACCTGCACTTTTCTATCTCCCAAAATATGAATAAGATAAGAATTAATAACAGACCAATGTGGAAAGTTCTTTCCCTAGTAAAAGGTTAGACTGAGTAGTACGAGTCTGATCTGTGGAGGAGCAGGACTCACCGAGCGCCCCCTGGAGGTTCTGGAACAGTCTGCATTTACTGTCCAGTGTGATGTTGATGGATTTCTGAAAGAGACAAAAAGATGAAGACCATTTTACTCAAGTGTTTTTTTTTTGTAGATTCAGCACAAACAGTGTGGCTTTAATTGAGCCTAAACTAGAGCTCAGATTTGTGGATGTTTGGATGTTTGGATGTTTAGATGTTTGGATGTTTGGATGTTTGGATGTTTGGATGTTTGGATGTTTAGATGTTTAGATGTTTGGAGGTTTGGAGGTTTAGGTGTTTAGATGTTTGGATGTTTAGATATGTTTGGAATGTTTAAATGTTTAAATGTTTGGGTGTTTGGGTGTTTGGGGTGTTTGGGTGTTTGGATGTTTAGATGTTTAGATGTTTAGATGTTTAGGTGTTTGATGGTTTAGATGTTTAGATGTTTGGATGTTTGGATGTTTGGATGGTTTAGATGTTTGGAGTGTTTGGATGTTTAGGTGTTTAGGTGTTTAGGTGTTTAGGTGTTTAGGTGTTTAGGTGTTTAGGTGTTTAGGTGTTTTAGATGTTTAGGTTTGGAGGTTTGGATGTTTGGATGTTTGGATGTTTGGATGTGTTTGGATGTTTATGTTTGGAGGTTTGGAGGTTTAGGTGTTTAGATGTTTGGATGTTTGGATGTTTGGATGTTTGGATGTTTAGATGTTTGGAGTTTATGTTTAGATGTTTGGATGTTTGGATGTTTGGATGTTTGGATGTTTGGATGTTTGGATGTTTGGATGTTTGGATGTTTGGATGTTTAGATGTTTGGATGTTTGGATGTTTGGATGTTTGGATGTTTGGATGTTTAGATGTTTAGATGTTTAGACGGAGCAGAAGCGCGTCTCACTCTTTTGTCGGGGTTGATGTAGATGTTGGTGTAGAAGAGCTGGTCGCTGTCTCCGTCCTTGCCGCTCCACTCGGACACCAGGCTCCTCACGGCGGGGAGGACGCCCATGAACGCCGGAGCCCAGGAAGCGGTTGCCGTGGGCGACGTGGGGGTGTTTGTCCTCCAGGAGCCTGTGGGGCCAGAGCAGCGTCTCCGAGGAGAAGACCACCCTGTGTCCCGCCTGAGAGAACTTCTTCAACAGCTCCCGAGGGCCCGAGGCGAAGACCACGTCGTAGCTGTGGAGAGGAGAGGAGCAAGAGGGTCAGTGGTTTTACTGGAGACAGCTGACACCATCACAGCCTCACACTTTTATATCCTGTGCTCCACACACAGATCCTGCTGCAGTCGCACAGACCGGAGATTTAAAATCTCATCAGATTCTCCTCGTGTCTGTCTCTCCTCAAGAGGTGGTCTCAGTTCGCTTGAATCCGCAACAAATGCCAAACTCTGGTGCGGTTCCTCTGGTGTGAACGTGAGCTCAGGTCCAAACCACAGGCAGTAGGTCCAAACAAACTATTCTAGATGCATCGTGGGAGAAACGTGTCTCCTTTGAAATGACGCGCTGTACGACTCCAGTGCACTACAGATCGTTCTCCAGACGCAGCTGCGATTCATTTCCAAATTATTTTGCCAACAATGATCAATACACAGAATGAAACACACGAAGATCAGAGCAAGAACCAACGTGTGAACATGTGGCTCCAGAGTGAGTCTAAATTCTGGGTGTGTACGTCTGTTCAGGAGCTGCACACACAGAGACGACCCGGTGTTCCTCGTGTTCACGCAGCAACCAGCATTTGTTATTTTAGGCTTTTAATTAACCAGATAATTTTATGGCAATAGGCAATAGTCTATTCAATTGATTCAACTTTAAAAATGTCCTGTTTTTAGCCTCGTGTGAGAAATACAGTCAGACTAGATCCAAACCAAAGTCCTGACGCAGCGGGAGCAGCTCCGGTTCAGTCCAGGCTCAGATGACGTGGAGCGGGGAGTGATGTTTGAAGCCTCGGCCTGAGAAGAACTTTCCCCGAGAAGAATCAAATGCGCGGAGGACGAATGGTCAGAACAAAATATAACCAACTAAACTGGACCCTCGGATGCTGCATCACCTCGGAACCAGCCGTCCGGACCTGTAGTCCTCAGAACATTCTCACTTTCCCCGCACAGAACCAGCGCAGAGACGACGGAACATACCCACTCAGACCCAGAACATCAAGCACTGGCCTTGCTCGTCCCCGTCTGGAACCAGCACATGGAGGACGAGGCGCTACAGTGAGTGTCCTGTGTCTTTATCGCTTTGGGCTGCTGCTGTTTCCTGAACTTCGGGCTGATGTGGTGAGTTTGTACAAAGTTCTGCATGTTTCTGTTTTATGAGTTCATGATGACTCTTGAGATGAGGACGGCCCGTGGTCTGAACAGGAAACATCGGTGTTGATAATTGGAGGTATCGCTGTTCTACCGGGAAAGAGGCTCGTTAATCGGACCAATTTTAGTTTGTTTGCTGGTGTGAAAACGGACCACTCTGGAGCGTATATGATACATAATAACGACTTTATTGCCTGGTGTGGACCAAATAATTGAACTAGCGGAGTGAAAATGCCCTAAAAATCATTTAAGACCAAAAAAAACCCTGAAGAGTCCGTGTACCTGTCAGTGAAGAGGACGACTGAGTCTTCGTCGGTCATCTCCTCCAGAGCCTGTTTGAGGAGCCGAACCTTCTGACCCCCGCCAGGAGCAGAGGTGTAGTCACCGCCTGCCCATTTCTCGCCCCTGCCCAGCACCTGTCAGCAGAGACACGCCCACAAACTCAGTCACAAACTCAGTCACAAACTCAATCACAAACTCAATCACAAACTCAGTCACAAACTCAGTCACAAACTCAGACACAAACTCAGTCACAAACTCAGTCACAAACTCAGTCACAAACTCAGTCACAACTCAACCACAAATCAACCACAAACTCAACCACAAACTCAGTCACAACTCAACCACAAAACTCAGTCACAAACTCAATCACAAACTCAGTCACAAACTCAGTCACAAACTCAAACAAAAACTCAGTCACAAACTCAACCACAAACTCAACCACAAACTCAGTCACAAACTCAGTCACAAACTCAGTCACAAACTCAGTCACAAACTCAGTCACAAACTCAACCACAAACTCAGTCACAAACTCAGTCACAAACTCAGTCACAAACTCAGTCACAAACTCAACCACAAACTCAACCACAAACTCAGTCACAAACTCAGTCACAAACTCAACCACGTCACGTCGTTTACACACAGATTTCAATTCAATTTTATTTTTTCCACAATTTTTAATTATATATACGTATATATAATCCACAAAGGCACATATTTAGACGTATATGTAAATATGCATTTGACATATAGATTATGTACGTCAGTTTGTAAACTGAAAAAAACACAGACTCCCAGAGAAGCTGGAAGTTTGTGTGTGTGAATCCATCACCACAGAGTCATGAATTTAGTGACTTGACAGGTTCAGTTTTTGGCTAAAGTAAAACAGACAAGACAATACAAGATTAATAACAATAATGATAATAATAAACGCAAAAGGAAAAAAAAAATAAACTAATTAAAATAAGTGAGAGAAGAAAAAAAATAATATAATAAAATTAAAAAAAATTAAAAAAGTATAAATAAAATTAAGTAAAGAGTTCCGTATCTTTCCCTTTTTCTTTTAGATTTATTAGATTAGATGATATTTAGGTTATTTTATTTTATATTTAACTAATTAATGTAATTATTTCTATTTGTTTCTATTTGGGTTTGAAACAGAAACACTGCACTGCAGACTTTTATTTACAAAAATGAAAGCTGCAGCTTGAAAGTTTGACAATTTCAGGACTGAAAATGATCCAAATGTTTCTAGTGAAGGAGGGTGGATGACATCACGAGGTGGAACACAGTTGTTTTTTTCTGTCTGAGAGAAGAACTCAGCCTAAATGTGCAGAGTTTGTGAGTTAAACATGTGAATGAAACAAAACACAAGTCCAGGTCTGTGTGTGACGAGGGAAATAGTGTGACATGAGACATTTAAAGGATAAAAAAAATGAAATAAAAACTAAAATAAAAATGTTTAAACTTGAGGAGCAGAGGTTTTATTGAGTTTGCAGAGGAGGATTTTCTGAGGAAATGAGGAGAAGAATAATTATGATAATGAAGCTTTAAAACTGTCACAGGAAACAGCACAAGGTTTAAAGAGTCTGTGTGTGTGTGTGTGTGTGTGTGTGTGTGTGTGTGTGTGTGTGTGTGTGTGTGTGTCTGTGTGTGTGTGTGTGTCTGTGTGTGTGTGTGTGTGTCTGTGTGTGTGTGTGTGTGTGTGTGTGTGTCTGTGTGTGTGTGTGTGTGTGTGTGTGTGTGTGTCTGTGTGTGTGTGTGTGTGTGTGTCTGTGTGTGTGTGTGTTTCTGTGTGTGTGTCTGTGTGTGTGTGTGTGTGTGTCTGTGTTGTGTGTGTGTGTGTGTGTGTGTGTGTGTGTGTGTGTGTGTGTGTGTGTGTGTGTGTGTGTGTGTGTGTGTGTGTGTGTGTGTGTGTGTGTGAGTTTTATTGACACATTATTACAAACCCTAAACTCAGAACCACATTTTCAGATCGACTTCTTTCATATTCTGAACGTCTCTTTAAAACTCGACACTGCAGGAAAAACGACTTTTTTCAGTGTTTTTGTTTTTTTAGTTTAGTTTAGTTTTAGGATCCGTGTCTCATTTGTTCTTTTGATTTTCAATCAAGAATGAAAAACAATAAAATGTGAAACAGTTTGTTATTTCATGTTTCAGTTTTAGTGTCAAACAACCTTCGACCTCGATTTCAATCTGTGTGTCATTAATTCATTAGTTTTTCAAAATAAAATAATGAAAAATAAGAAAAAGGAATAAAAACGAAATAAAAATGAAAAAACAACAATTTTCTTCATTATTTGTCTCCAAAACTAAAATGAAAAAAAAAAAAAAAAACAGATAAAGATTTGTTTGTTTAGTTTTTGATTTTGTGTTTAAATGAAAAATGGAAAAAAATGGACTGAACCAGGGACTAAAACCAGGACTAAAACTGGGACTAAACCAGGACTAAAACTGGGACTAAACCAGGACTTAAACAGGACTAAACCAGGACTAAACCAGGACTAAAACTGGGACTAAACCAGGACTAAAACTGGACTAAACCAGGACTAAACTGGACTAAAACCAGGACTAAAACAGGTCTAAAACCAGGACTAAAACCAGGACTAAAACTGGGACTAAACCAGGACTAAAACTGAGGACTAAACCAGGACTAAACCAGGACTAAAACTGGGACTAAACCAGGACTAAAACTGGGACTAAACCAGGACTAAAACTGGGACTAAACCAGGACTGAACAAAAACAAAATCATTCAAAATCAAAAACAAATCATTATCTTTTTTTTTTTTTTTTCCATTTTGGTTTTAGAGACAAATAATGAAGAAAATTGTTTTTTGGTTTTTTTTTTTTTCTTATTTTTGGTTTTATTTTGAAAAATGAATGATTGAATAACACACGGATTTATTTAATATTTAATTTAAAGTTAATTTGAAATAACACCATAAAAAAGAAACAGTCTCGGTGCCTGTTTCAGTTTTGATATTTTATTCTCTCTGGTTTATTTAAAGTTCTGCTTCAGCATCACATCTGAATTCAGAGTTTCTCGCTGCTTCTGTTTGTCATCGTCATGGATCAACAACCACATTCTAAGACGTGAAAATAAAAGCGTCGCTATAAAAGAAGAAACATGTTTGTCCATGAAACTGCAACGAGTTTTCAGGGTCCTTCAGCAGCAGAACTTCAAATAAACCAGAGAATAAAATATCAAAATTAAAACAGTCACCAAGACCGAGTTTTTTGATTGGTGTCATTTAGAATAAACTTCAAATTAAATATTGGAAATCGAGGTCGAAATCTGTTTTTTGTTTGACACTAAAACAGAATCAAATTGTTTTTCGTTCTTAATTGAAACTCAAAAAAACAAATGGAACATGGACTGTCTAAACTTTCATGTGTAAACTTCAAAAATGATTGACTCTGCACCAAAATAAGTTTTAATATTTCATTTAATCGCCCCAAGTCCTCAGAATTCAACGAGAATTTGTAACTTCAGCAGCTTCAAAATGAATTTTCACCACACAGACGGATCGATCCTGAAGCAGCTTCTATAAACGTCAACCACCGGAAAAGTTACACAGTGGAGCTTTACTTGAGGATGAATATGACCTGATGTGACCTGATGTGACCTGATGTGACCCGACACTGAACCAATACAAATCATGAAAATATGTCCAGACTTAGACATAAATTCTTTGGTTTTGATCCAAAGATTTCAGCTGTCAGAACGACACGGATCATTACTCAGGCTCTGGGTCTGGACCACAGTCTGGACCAGAGTCTGGACCATAGTCTGGACCATAGTCTGGACCACAGTCTGGACCAGGATCTGAACCAGGATCTGGGCCACAGTCTGGATTGAATCATTGTGTGGACCTTTGTCTGGACCAGGGTCTCTATCAGGGTCTGGACAAAGGTCGGTACAGGTTAGTCTGAGCACACATGAGGACAGGTCTGAGGACAGGTCTGGGGACAGGTTTGGGGCAGGTCTGGAGCAGGTCTGGGGCAGTTCTGGAGCCATTCTGGGTCAGGTCCGGGGCAGGTCTTGGGCAGGTCTGAGGTTGGTCTGGGGACGGGTCTGGGACAGTTCCGGGTCAGGTCTTGGACAGGTCCACGGCAGGTCTGGGGACGGTCTGGGGCATGTTGAGCAGGTCCAGGGCAGAGGCAGGTTTGGAGCAGGTCTGGAGCAGGTCTGGAGCAGGTCTGGGGTTGGTTCGGGGTCGGTCTGGGGCAGGTCTGGACATATAGATGGGGCAGGTCTGGGGACAGGTCTGGACACACACACTGTGGACAGGTATGGGGACAGGTATGGGGACAGGTTTGGGGCAGGTCTGGACTCATGGACGGAGCAGGTCTAGAGCAGGTCTGGGTCGGTCCAGGGGCAGGTCCGGGTCCAGTCTGGGTCCAGTCTGGGTCCGGTCTGGACTCTTGGACGTACCTTGACGGTGTAGTTGAAGTGTTTGGCCGACCTGAGGAAACGTCTGAAACCGTCTGTTTCTTTGGTGGCGACGGTGAGAACCACGAGTTTATCTGAAACAAAAGATTTACACAGACGTGAGTTTAAACGAGGAAGAGAAACGACCAAAAAAAAACGAAAAGGAGGAGGAGAGAGGGTCGTAAAATAAGAGGAGAAGGTCGTAAAACAGAAGAAACAAGAGGAAATGGACAGAAAACTTCAGATTTACATAGAAATTTGTCTCAACATTCAGCCCGACCTGCGAGACTAAGAGACGAAAACAAACCTTTATGGACAAATGTGTGATAATTACATGTAATTATATCAATGGAGAGTTAAAATTAACTCTGACAGAATCAGTTTGAACATTTTCTCAGTGTTTATCTGAGTCACTCTGTTCTAGAGTTAATTTAACATTTGTGTAAATGTTCATGAAGTAAAACTGGACCAAAGTTCCTGTTTAACCCAAATCCAGAGTTAAATGAACGTTTAGAGAGTAAACAGATAACACTTTGTAGAGTTATCCTGATTTAACTCAACAACACACAGGAGTGTTTTATTTTTACACTTTATTTGAGTTAATTTAAAATGAAATTATGAACAAAACTTCATCTTCTCTGGCGGGAGGTTGAAGTGGTGGGTGGAGCCAAATTAACACTAGTAGAAGTTGAATTAACTTAAATCATATAAACTTTGGCAAATAACCCCAACTCAAACCCCATTTAACTTTGAAATAGTTAAAATAACACTTTTTTGTGTGTTAAAAACAACTCTGAAATATTTCACCCTGAAGTTTTAACTCTCCAGTTTTTGCTGTGACAGATTCATGTTATTTAAAACAAACAAATAAACACGTTTGAAAATCGCATAAATGACGCGTCATATTAAATCTTGGAACATATTTATTTTACACCGGATGCCCTTCCTGTCACTGAGCTCACGATTATTTTTAGTGAATCCAAATTTAAACGTATTTTTCTGCTTTAGTCCCGTGAGTGCGTCTGTCCCGGCGTGTGCGCGTGCGGCGAGCCGGTCCACGTCAGCGCCATGAAGGACAGCGGCTCCTGCGGCTCCTGCGGCTCCCTCCACCTCAGCCCCGGCAATAAAACTCTGTCCAACAGCCTGGAACTTTAGCGTCAGGTTTGTCTGAGTTTGACCCGAGCCTCGTCCACAGCGGGACAAACGTGTCTCTAAAAGTGTCTCTGCGCGCGGGGACATGGCTCTAAAAATGTCTCTGGAAGCGTCTCTGTGAGTCTGCAGCCGGTGCTCGGGGCTCGGTGCTCGGCTCGGGCTCGGGGCTCGGGGCTCGGGGCTCGGAGCTCGGGGCTCGGGCTCGGGCTCGGTGCTCGGGTCTGCGCAGAGTGAAACCCGCATTCCGTCGCTTCTTACCTTCGGGGATCCGCGTGTCCGTGCGCGCTCCGTGGACCAGCGCCCACAGCAGCAGCGTCCACACCGCGCGGCTCATTTCGCTGTTTTTCGAGTGGAAATGTTCCCGCTGCGCGCATTCCACGCGAGTCCAAAACTTATACGAGGTCTCCCAGCACCGCCCGCTCCCTCCTCCCTCCTCTTCCTCCCTCCTCTTCCTCCCTCCCTCCTCTTCCTCCCTCCTCTCGGGTTCGCGTGTCGCCCCCTCGCTGGGTTTTCCGCTCCGTGACGCGGCCGAACAATGCGCGCGCGTCCCGACAGCGCGTGCACAAAACAAACGCGTGTCTGAGAATCTTTGGGACGAACTTTTCCTCCAAAAGTTGCGGTTTTGTGGACAGTTTGTGCGGTGTTCCGGACGGACGGGGGCTGTGGACGGACGTGAGCAGACGCACGTAGCCCGTGGGCAGGAGCAGACTCGTCACGGGGGGAGTGGAATCACAGTTTGTGCCCGAAACTCCAGAAAACAGCTGAGCAAACTCGAGTCAGGGACCAGAGCGGGAATCACTCAAACAAAAACCAAAAACCAACCAACTGCTCCGTCCGGCCCCGAAAGACCAGAGTCACGAGAAGAACACGGGAAAAACACAAATGGACCCGAGCCCCCGATGTGAAGGACAGGAGCAGTGACAGGAGCAGGGACAGGAGCAGTGACAGGAGCAGTGACAGGAGCAGTGACAGGAGCAGTGACAGGGGCAGTGACAGGAGCAGTGACAGGAGCAGTGACAGGGGCAGGACAGGAGCAGGGACAGGAGCAGTGACAGGAGCAGTGACAGGAGCAGCAGACAGGAGCAGTGACAGGAGCAGGACAGCAGTGACAGGAGCAGTGACAGGGCAGGAGCAGACAGGAGCAGTGACAGGGGCAGGAGCAGTGACAGGGCAGTGACAGGGACAGGAGCAGGGACAGGTGCAGTGACAGGAGCAGTGACAGGAGCAGTGACAGGGCAGTGACAGGAGCAGTGACAGGAGCAGTGACAGGAGCAGGGACAGGGGCAGTGACAGGAGCAGAGACAGGAGCAGTGACAGGGGCAGTGACAGGGGCAGTGACAGGAGCAGTGACAGGGCAGTGACAGGAGCAGTGACAGGAGCAGTGACAGAGCAGGACAGGAGCAGTGACAGGAGCAACAGCAGGAGCAGCGACAGGAGCAGGGACAGGAGCAGTGACAGGGCAGTGACAGGGGCAGTGACAGGAGCAGTGACAGGAGCAGTGACAGGAGTGACAGGAGCAGTGACAGGGGCAGTGACAGGAGCAGTGACAGGAGGCAGTGACAGGGCAGTGACAGGAGCAGTGACAGGGCAGTGACAGGCAGTGACAGGAGCAGGGACAGGAGCAGTGACAGGAGCAGGGGCAGTGACAGGGGCAGTGACAGGGGCAGTGACAGGAGCAGTGACAGGAGCAGGGCAGTGACAGGGGCAGTGACAGGAGCAGTGACAGGGGCAGGGACAGGAGCAGTGACAGGAGCAGTGACAGGAGCAGGGGCAGTGACAGGACAGGACAGGACAGTGACAGGGCAGGAGCAGTGACAGGGGCAGTGACAGGAGCAGTGACAGGGGCAGTGGACAGTGACAGGAGCAGTGACAGGGGCAGTGACAGGAGCAGTGACAGGGGCAGTGACAGGAGGCAGTGACAGGAGCAGTGACAGGGGCAGTGACAGGAGCAGTGACAGGAGCAGTGACAGGCAGTGACAGGAGCAGGGGCAGTGACAGGGCAGTGACAGGAGCAGTGACAGGAGCAGTGACAGGAGCAGTGACAGGGGCAGTGACAGGAGCAGTGACAGGGGCAGTGACAGGAGCAGTGACAGGAGCAGTGACAGGAGCAGTGACAGGAGCAGGGGCAGTGACAGGAGCAGGGCAGTGACAGGAGCAGGGCAGTGACAGGCAGTGACAGGAGTGACAGGGCAGTGACAGGAGCAGGGGCAGTGACAGGGCAGTGACAGGAGCAGTGACAGGGGCAGTGACAGGAGCAGGACAGTGACAGGAGCAGTGACAGGGGCAGTGACAGGAGCAGTGACAGGAGCAGGACAGGACAGTGACAGGGGCAGTGACAGGAGTGACAGGGGCAGTGACAGGAGCAGGGGCAGTGACAGGAGCAGTGACAGGGGCAGTGACAGGGCAGTGACAGGAGCAGGAGGCAGTGACAGGAGCAGTGACAGGAGCAGTGACAGGAGCAGTGACAGGGCAGCAGTGACAGGAGCAGTGACAGTGACAGGGGCAGTGACAGGAGCAGTGACAGGGCAGTGACAGGGCAGTGACAGGGGCAGTGACAGGAGCAGTGACAGGGGCAGTGACAGGGGCAGTGACAGGAGCAGTGACAGGAGCAGTGACAGGGGCAGTGTGCCAGCGTAAAGTGACCAGATTTTCAAAATAAAAAACTGGGACATCCTCATTTTTTTGTGGTTGGTAATAATAATAAAATTGTGTAACGAGTTTGTAATTAAGGAAATTTGTTCTGCAGAGCAAAAACTGGAGAGTTAAAATTTCAGGGTGAAATATTTCAGAGTTGGTTTTAACACAAAAGGTGTAATTTTAAATATTTAAAGTTAAATGGAGGTTGGAGTTGGGGTTATTTGAGTTATTAAATTGATATGGGTGAAGTTAATTCAACTTCTCTTAGTGTTAATTTGGCTCCTCCCACCACTTCAAACTCCCTCCAGAGAAGAACCAGTTTGAACCAGTTTTGTTCATAATTTGATCTTAAATTAACTCAAATAAAGTGTAAAAATAAAACCCCTCTGTGTGTTGTTGAGTTAAATCAGATTAACTCTACAAAGTGTTATCTGTTTACTCTCTAAACGTTCATTTAACTCTGGATTTGGGTTAAACAGGAACTTTGGTCCAGTTTTACTTCATGAACATTTACACAAATGTTAAATTAACTCTAGAACAGAGTGACTCAGATAAACACTGAGAAAATGTTAAAATTGATTCTGTGAGAGTTGATTTGAACACAACACTTTTTGTTTTTCTGCACTCGGTTTGTGAGTCGGTTTAGTCACATTTTCTTTGTGTTTTGGTCGTTTTTAAGCAGCTTTTTTGTATTTTACAGAAACAAAAGTCAGTTTCTGTTTGTCTTTACTGTTTCAGGATCAGATTTGTCACAAATAGAGACACTGGGATGTTTCTTGTATAAATGGGGACACTTCAGTGGTTTTGTGTAAATCTGCAGGGACACAGGTCTGTCCCGGGGAAAGTGGGACGTCTGGTTTTCAGCAGCTGCGCCAATAAACGACTTCAGGAGCCTCCGTCCTTCAAACACATCAGTGTGAAACAACAAAAGGACAATTTAATAATTATTTGGGATGAAATTTAGACTTAGACTTAAACTTTATTGATCCACAAAGAAATTATTTGGACACAAGAGTCACATTTCACAAGATAATATAAGAACAAAGAGAAAACCATAGAAATAAATGTTCATAAATTCTAATTAAGTCACAAAAAAAGAGCAAGAAACAAATAAAACATAATTATATAAATGTAAATGTACAAGTTAAAATAAAATATAAAAAACACAACTTTATACAATAAGTCATAGGAAGACATGGAGTAGGGAGTATTATCTGTTACAGGGCGAGTTGTTGTACAGTTGTAGGGAGTATTATCTGTTACATAAGGGTGAGTTGTTGCACAGTTGTAGGGAGTATTATCTGTGACAATGGTGAGTTGCTGTACAGTTGTAGGGAGTATTATATGTCACATAAGGGTGAGTTGTTGTACAGTTGTAGGGAGTATTATCTGTTACATAAGGGTGAGTTGTTGAACAGTTGTAGGGAGTATTATCTGTTACATAATAAGGGTGAGTTGTTGCACAGTTGTAGGGAGTATTATCTGTTACATGCACATTTGTAGGGAGTATTATCTGTTACATAAGGGTGAGTTGTTGAACAGTTGTAGGGAGTATTATCTGTTACATAAGGGTGAGTTGTTGCACAGTTGTAGGGAGTATTATCTGTTACTTAAGGGTGAGTTGTTGCACAGTTGTAGGGAGTATTATCTGTTACTTAAGGGTGAGTTGTTGCACAGTTGTAGGGAGTATTATCTGTTACATAAGGGTGAGTTCTTGCACAGTTGTAGGGAGTATTATCTGTTACATAAGGGTGAGTTGTTGTAAAGTTGTAGGGAGTATTATCTGTTACATGCACATTTGTAGGGAGTATTATCTGTCACATAAGGGTGAGTTGCTGTACCGTTGTAGGGAGTATTATCTGTCACATAAGGGTGAGTTGTACAGTTGTAGGGAGTATTATATGTCACATAAGGGTGAGTTGTCGTACAGTTGTAGGGAGTATTATCTGTGGTATAAAGGTGAATTGTTGTACAGTTGTAGGGAGTATTATAGGGAGTATTTGACTGCATTTCACCCCAGGTATCGAATGTGTTATTTATGATTGTGATTTTGTGAGTTTGAAGATGTTGAATAAAAAAAAGAAAAAATAATTTGCCTGTGACTTCTTTTTTGTAACTTTGTTTTTATTGATTTTTAGAAAACATTTCAAAACATAAACATACAAAAGCCAATGTAAATCAAAACTATATAACAAAAGTCTGGAGTTACAGATTTTATTTAAAGAATAAGAAAAGAAAAACAGTTTTTAGTTGCAGCTTATTAGAAGATGTCAGCCCAACCTGGCAACCCACATCTACTGTAATAAAGACGACAAACTCACTTACGGCGCGAGTCTAACGCGGAAGTGCCACAGTTGGACAGTTGTAGGGAGTATTATCTGTTACATCAGGGTGAGTTCACGTCACAGATCTGATGCAATAATTATTTGGGGCGTAATTTCTGGTCAGATGGTGGTGGTTTATGGGTTCTTTATTTTATTTACAGTCTGAAGTTTTAGCTGAAGTTTTTATTGTTATTGTTGTTTTATTTTTTTTTTATTTATTTATTTTTGCGCTATTGTGTATTTGACTGCATTTTGCCTCAGGTGTCATATGTGTTATTTAGGTGATTTTGTGTCTTTAATGTCCCTGTATTTGAACATGTTGAAGTAAAAAAGAAAAAGAAAAAAAGAAGAGGAAGAAAAATGTTTTAGCTGCGGCTTTTTAGAGGATTTCATCCCAATCTGGCGACCCACATCTACTGCCGTAAACTCAACAAACTCACTTACTTGTAGGGAGTATTATCTGTTGCAGAAGGGAGAGTTGTAGGATATTTTTTGAGGTTCACGTCGCAGATCTGATGCAATAATTATTTGTGACATTATTTATAGTCTGAAGCTTTTGTTGTTTTATTTTAGTTTTATTGTGTATTTGACTGCATTTTGTCTCAGGTATCGTGTGTTATTTATGTGATTTTGTGTCTTTGATGTCCCTGAATTTGAACATGTTGAATAAAATAATAATAATAATAATTAATAAAAAAAAAACGTTTTAGCTGCAGTTTTTTAGAGGATTTCAGCCCAACCTGGCAACCCAAATCTACTGTTGTAAACACAAGAAACTCACGTTTAGTTACATAAGGGTGAGTTGTTGTACAGTTGTAGGGAGTATTATATGTGCTCATTATGTTCTTCACGGTCACGATCTTTTTAGAGGATTTCATCCCAACCTGGCAACCCACATCCACTGTCGTAAAGACAACAAACTCACTTACGGCGCGTGTCTATCCCGGAAGTGTCACAGTTGGACAGTTGGACAGTTGGACACAAACAGCTCCGGAGACAAAAACAAAAACAAAACAAAACAAACGGGACAAATGTGAAGCGGCCGCGTCATGTCCCCTGTCCCCCGGGCCACGCCGCTCCGAGCCCCCGCCCGGTGTGAGGCCCCGAGGAGCCCCGGAAATAAAACTCTGACCTGAGCGAAAAGAAGAAGGAAAAGAAAGAAAAGAAAGAAGAAAGAAAGAAGAAAGAAGACAGGACCCGGAACCAAGACTCGGAACCAGGACCCGGATCCAAGACCCGGAACCAAGACCCGGACTTCTGCCCGTGTGTTTGTCCCGTGTGTTTGTCCCCGTGTGTTTGTCCCGTGTGTCTGTGTCCGTCCCGGGGCAGATGCGGCCTGGGGCCCTGGGCCCCTGAGCTCGGACATGTGGCTGCAGCAGAGGCTGAAGGGGCTCCCGGGCCTCTTGTCTTCTTCGTGGGCGCGGCGGCTGCTCGTGGGGCTGCTCCTCTTCATCATCTTCTCGTGGTACTTGGGGGGGGAGCGCGGGTGGCCGCGGTTCCTGAGCGGCGGCGCGGCCCCCGGCGGGGCCCCGGGCCAGTGTCTGCAGGCGGAGATCCACAGGTGGAGGTCTGTGGTGGAGCGGGGGGAGGGGGTCTACACCGCCCCCCACGAGCCGCTCGACACGCCCTTTGTGTCAGGTGAGTGACCCGCGTGGACCCGCGGGACTCTGGACACAAACACAAACATGACACACAAACACAGAAGTGTGACGTGGGACTCAGGTCTGAGGATCATTAGTTGTTGTCGGGACAAACACGAGTGTGGAGGGATTTTTTAAAGTCCAAGTTCAGTAAAAATCTGAAATAGTTTATGTTTTTTTATTCAAAATGAAGCAGAATCTTGTTATTAACATGAACTCTGTTTATAATCAACTACAGGAAATAAACCACAGAACCAGGACTAAACCTGGACTGAACCTGGACTAAACCAGGACTAAACCTGGACTGAACCAGGACTTGAGAGAGACGGAACCAGAGAGAGTCTGAGCTACTCCTTTCTCCTGCGATCACCCGACAGTTTACACGCCCGACCTGAGACTGGACTGGTTCAT